CCATACGTGGAAGACTAAAATCTTGAACTAGGGGTCAAATCAGACTTCCAATGAACATGTAGTATCTTATTTGATTATGAAGCGCCACAATGAAATAATTGAATGAAAATGCCAACAGGAAGCCAAGTCTGAGGTTGGCTCGCAGCAGGCCTTGACCAATCAAGCCTAAAAGCATTACTACAACTATTTCTGAGTCATTTAGCTTTTTCTGTAAGTCAAGCATTTTTCATTTTTTCACTCTATCAGACCTTAAGCTACTTGAGCACCGAAGCAGTAAAAAAAATAAATAAATAAATAACATCAAAAAACTTCAAAACTTCAATCAATCTTAATGGGTTTTCTTGTTATTTGACATTCTTTAGCATACACACAGCCCTGATTTCAGGTCACTAGGATCTCATTACAACAGGATCAACAGAAATGCTTTTACATTGTCCAGCCTCTGCGTTTGACCCATCCATCTTTCCCAGAAAGAATGAAGGAATGAAACATCTTTCAGAGTATGAATTTTTATTTCTCTTGTCTTGGCATCCCTATTAGTGACAGGAACAGGATTGGGAGAGCAGCCGTCTTGCTCTCTGACTGGAGGACACCCATATGCTGCTGTCATGTTCTCTGCTAATTAGGATTAATGGCAGCCATGACACTGCCTTACTCCTTAGCCTCATGCAACCACTCTTAGGAGCCTACTTAACTTTCAGCCATGTGTCTTAAAAAAAAAAAAAAATCTGTGTGGAGATTGAAGAGATTTAATGACAGCTTTCTTTCAAGACCGGCCAACACTTTGGTGTGGTTTCTCAGACCTTCAGACAGTGTTTGATGTTTTCAAGGCTTCCTGATGCCAATACAAAAGATTTACTGGACTCAAGTTTTTCTTAAATTTCTTCTGTAATCTACAGTAGTTCAGGGCCTTTCTCCAGCATGTTGAGCACAGTGTTTGTAGTAAACTTTGTTCGTATAGAGCACGACTTTCTGGCTTCTCAATAATTAATGAACTGCATTCTCTGAAGGACAAATTAGAAAGCACAGGTTGAACAAGAGAATACAAACACGCTAAAGAGCAGATGTGATGAGAAAAACCAGAGGCATTAATTGCTGATTACTTTTCCACTAATCTAGATTTCAGAGACCCTCAGATTCCATTAGCTTTACCCTTGAATCTAAAACAAAACACTAATACCTCAAGTTTGTGTGGGTGAGATATTCTCTCACAACAATTTGCAACAAGGTCTTTGTGTCCTTAGATCTACCTCATGAAAATTGTGCAAGAGTATCTTACCCTGTGAAATTAATTAAAGTAAACTCAAGGCTTTCAGAGTTTGAAATATGACACCCTCTCAGCGCTCTTTTCAGCTTACTTTACATGAAGGATATTTTCTGTAATACCCTCTGCCAGTTTCACTTCTAGGTGTGTTTTCTTCTGCTAGAACACTGAAACAAAATCATGTTCATCAGGTTAAACCTCAATTAATTGATTTTTTTTGCCACTTGGGAGCAGCAGAGCTTATAATGTTTACGCAAAAAGTTACCTATACCTAACATCCAGAAGACCTAGAACAACATTAGCATCCATTTGAAGATGTTTTTCTGGCCAAACGTAAGTCTAATATTCAATTTCCTTTTATCTGTCTTTTTGTCTTTACAATATTTACCCAAATATCTTGTGCTTCAGTTACTAGATTTTCCACCAGCTAGTCACTTACATTGTTTGCCATTTGGTGCTGGAGAGGTGGCGTAAAGTCATTTTACAGCTCTGCATCGACACTTATCTTCGAGTTCATCACTACAGGTGGCCCCATTCACGTTACACAGTCAGCTGATCCATTGTTAGCATAAAATAGACAAATAAATAAAATATTGATTAGTGCAGCTTTAACAATGGGATATTCAGGTGACTGTAGGATAAAGCAGTCAGAGTCCTCTGTGGTCTGTATAAAGAGTAAAGACACACATTGCTTATAACAGTTTAGATGAGTATAAGTGCCTGAGCCTCCTGTGACTGATGTGAGCTTGTTTGAATGGAAATTGATGCGAGCCAACGGATAATCACCATCCAGTAGAAGGAACACTGTGAATTGGTTGCAAGAACAAGAACCAATTCGATGGACACCCTGATTAATTGTTATAAATGCCCATGCAGGCAGCGACAGTTCAAGTTAGTTAATCTTGAGGCAGAGAGGGAAGGAAAGTCGGCAATAAAATTATGCACACTGGTGGTTTCAGTTTGGAGGCAATGTTTCCTTTACATTTCCATTTTTATTGCTGTCCATTCCAGGTCATTTCATGCGCAAAGCAACATCAAGCCTAAACTAATTTGTTGGCAGCTGTTTCACATTCTAAACATTTCCATTAGCAGCAAAACCCATCCACATAATGAAATATTGTTCAAAAGAAAATCTATTTCCAAACTGTTTTATTTAATTTCACAACCTCAGATTCAGATTTTTCCAGCATTCCTGAAATATAAACCTTATCACTCTGTATCTAAATGTGACATCAGACTACTTTTGTTATTATTTCTTCAAGAATCAGTTAAATGGAAAAGGCTGAAAAAATCTGAGGAAGCTTAAACATCTTCAATGTCCATGGTAATGAAAAAAACACAAGCAACCTGGGACCCTAAAAGTCATAATGAAACATATTAAAATGCAGCAATTTTTCTGTCCTCTTTATAGGAAAGATATATCCTTTGCAGAAAACCAAAGGCCCACATGTGAATTGATGAATAACTATAAATATTCAAGTAGAGACTGATTTTTTTTCTTTAAATGAGAAATGGGTGGCATGGCCTGGATGAGCTATTTCTTCTAAAAGACAGGGAGATAAGTCTCTCTGCTCTCAGTTCAAACACTGAAAGCTTGTGTCCTTCCCTCTGGCTGAGGTGAAGTGAGAAAACAGGATCGGAGGTAGAGGACTGGATGGGACGGTTGACTCTGGGAGGGTTCGTCCTGGTGTCAAATTGCACAGTAAATGTCCTGGAGGTTATTCACGTTTGATCAGTGTATCCATTACACTCTCCAGTCACTGACACGGATGCGTCGCATGTCCGAGGGCAAGATAAGGATGTCCACAAACACACATGCAAACACACACATTTTCTCTTTATGCATGAAAACATTTTGTTGACTTGTTTCAACACAAAAAGACAGAGGTGGCAAAAGTACACACATCTTCACTCAAAAAGAAATACAGACACTTGTGTAAAAGAATACTCCGGTAAAAGTCGGATTACCGATTAAACTTCTATACTCAAGTAAAAACTGTTAAAAGTACAGGGTCTGTAATGTAACATAATGTTAATAATCAATAATTCCTCTCAAATGCATTAAAACAAAAGTAATTGATAATTTTTATTCATCTATCTGCCTTCCTGCACAGATCAATTGACTTGTCACAACATGAGTGCTCAAGCTGAATGTAAACATGGAACCCGTGATTTTTCCTGACAATTCCAATAAAGCTTATTCAAGCAGATGACAACATCCTCAACAATGAGAGTTGGTATTAATTTGCACAATTCTGATATTAATGGAAAGCGAGAAAAAAAGAAAAATATGGAGTCGCAGATGGCTGTGAAGATGCAGACAATAGCCTATAGGCAATCCGTTGTGTAATGTATCACAACACAGTCTCAGTTAAGACTACAGTAAAGCACAACAAGTACTACTCTAATATTAAAACAAACAGATCTTTTGACAGAAGCCATGTGGGAAATTGGACAGTTGAACTTCTCAGACTAGACAGAAATCCAACTGATCATCGAATGGCCAGATTGTGGATCAGGCTTCGTAACCTCCCCATAATGAATGTCAAATGAAAGCCAATGGCAGAAATTCAGCCTCATTCAGAAATTAGTTCTGCTGACAAATTCAGGATTAAAATCAGGCTTAAAGGTTCAGTGTGTAGGATGAAGTGTTATCTAGTGGTGTAATTGCAGATCACAACTCCGTCGTTTTACCCTCCCCTTATAAGTGTGAAGGAGAAACTATGGTGTTAAAAACGCGAACTGTCCCATCTACAACCACTGTTTAGTCTGTTCCTTCTGGGCCACTGTAGAAACATGGCGGTCCAGCATGGTGAACTCCATGGAAGGCGACCTGCAACCTGTAGATAAAAATGGCTTATTTTAAGGAAATGAAAACATAGTGATTCTTATATTCAGGTGTTTATACACTAATAAAAACATACCTATGATATAATATTTCCATTTCTGCCAATAGATTTTCCTAAATGTTACACACTGGACCTTTAAGGCATGGTCAAATGTGAAAGCAGTGAAGCTTTTCTCTATTTTCTCTTTACTATTGTAACTCCTGTCTGACATTTTGTTCATCATTGTTCACTGTTGCTACTATTCACTTTGCCACGAGAAAATCCACTGATCACGGTGATTCTGTTGAAAAATGAAAATTTAGAAATTTTGCTGCAACATTTTGCCATTTTAAATGCAGGTGTGGCCAGACCTTCAATCTGTATGTCTGTCCGACTTTATACATTAACTCTCTTTTACACACACACACACACACACACACACACACACACACACACACACACACACACACACACACACACACACACACACACACACACACACACACACACACACACACACACACACACCTATGCATGAATACACACTCTTTCTTGCACATACACTCCCATTAACTGACGTTTGTCCAACTTTGACAGGAGCGTGTATATTTTTCAAAAAAACACAAATACAGTATAGAGTACATATACATAAAACACACAAAATCTGGAGGAGACCCTTGTCCCTTATCACGGCCTCTGTCACAAATGCTTCTTGTCATCAGGCTCTGTGTGACTCCCCTGAGTCGGTTGCCAGGCAACCGTGGCTGCATTAACATGCGCGGGAGAGAGGGAGCAGGGGATACCTCTTGCCTGTGGAGCAAAGCAACCACGACAGCGTCAGTGTGAGGCGACGGGTTCCTTCGCAGCATCCACCCCCTCTCTCTCTCTCTCTCTCTCTCTTTTTTTTTTTTTTTTTCTCTCTTTCTCTCTCTCTCTCTCTCTCTCTGTCTCTCTCTTACAGCCGTCCAGCATTCACGCTCCGCTCAGTTAGTTAGGGATACACGCTCAGCCACTGGAGCGCAAGAAAAAGGTATGTTAGGTTACACATCATGTAGAGCAAGCAGGGGCTTCCACCACTTCAGCAGAGGTGTCTTTTTTCCTTTTTTATTTCAGTATGAAACATTTAGAAGCCAAGACATCAGCAAAACATGTTTTACATTGCTGAGCTGTATAAAAGTTTGATAGAGGAGATGAGCCTTTAATAAGGCTTGATAGGGGTGTCTTGGCAAGAGATAAAAGACTGAAATCTCCTTTTTTAGTAAGCTTTATCTTTTTTTTGTAAGCTTTGTGGAATAAAGACAAAGGAGGATGGAAATGTGCACATAAAAGCTTTGTTACCCTCCCACCCCCATCTGCCCATCAACTGACTCCATTCTTCAACTTGACATCATCCTTCCACACAGACAAGGAGAAGAAGAAAAAGAAGAGGAGGAGAAGAAGAGAGAAGCAGAGGTGGGAAGGCAAACAAATCAGAGAGAGGAAGAGGAGGAAGAGCCGAGAGGAGGTGGGCAGCACAGTTGCAGCTCTCACAAGGCTGAGGAGGAGAAAGTGAAGGCAGCTAGAACTTGGCCACTAGTGAGATGAAATTCGGGGAAGAGTCGCTGGAGCGCTGCAGGGTACGACATCCAACGAGAGCCCTAAAATTGGAACGCCTGGAAGACGAGCCAGCCCTCTCTGGATCCTGTGCCCCTCCACAGCCGAAGGATGAGAGGGGTCGACTTTCACCTTAGTTGCCAGGGATGTCTGTGCACTACGGAAAGGCGCCCCCCTCCAGCATGTCCAATGCTATGTTATTCCTGATGCTTTGCAAGGTAGGTCTCCTAAAGTACCACTTTCATCCCACATCCATCCCCTCATCAGCATGTGCAGAGCAGCTGTAAACTGTCAACAAATACTTAATGAATCTTTCACCATTTTTAAATGTCACGACAGTGTGTAGCTATGAATTTATTATGCATCATGATATATTCTTTATAAATGTGGGATATTTCCAGGCTCAGTTGTCTTTGTATGAATCATTGATTAAGGTAGCAGAGGCACCCTGAATGTTGCCTTACAATCAAACCATGCTCCTTTTTGTCTTGTCAGCTCTACTCTGAGAGACACTATTAGCTGTGGTGGTTATTTGTTAAGAAAACACATCCACATGGCCCTCTGGGAGTTGCTCCTCGTGCATGTTGTTAACAAGTCTAAATGCTTATTATGTAACAGCAGGGATATCTTAAATTAAAGTCTCTCTTTAGCTTTTTGTATGTTAGAGAATTCATTTGTGACTGGTTTGTGAGTCATTTTCTTGAGTATGATGAAGTTAAAATGGATTAAAGCAAATCTTCCGCGTTTATGGAAAGACATACAATCCTCACATGTTAATGATACACAGGAATGCTTTTTTTAAAATAATATGCAACCCGTATTCTTTGTCAACTTTAAATTCCATGTACATCAATTTAAGATACAACTTCCTGTGTGTCTGAACTTTTCTGTGGGGGCTTTAGCAGGATTTTTTGATCAATAAAAAAATGTTCCATGATTCAAAATAGATCTGTCACTTTCCTCTCACTCACAGAACAATGAGTGCAGCTTATGAAAAATGGGTCACATTCACTATTGGCAGTATCTCATCAGATTTCACTAAAAAAGTCCTGATTTAAAAACTCCCCTTCTTCTCTTCCTTCTGATTTCTCTCCTCATGTACATTTACCACACAGCATGTTTCTGATGTGATGCTCTGAGTGTGTCTGTGTTTGTGTCAGCGTGTGATGGGCGTCAACCTGCGTGTGTATACATACACACTCAGGAGGGGTTGGGGAGCTGCTTGCCTTTAATTCCATTTTATAACAATGCCAAAAGCGACACTGCCTGTCAGACTATGTTAGCATCTGGAGTCATTTGACATGCTCAGGATTATTCAAGTGGCAAAAGGTTTTACTCTCCACTGATCTGATCTGAGGATGTTAGCTTCTGTTAGGTGTAGCAGGAGCATCCGGATTTGTTGTCCCAGGTATGGCATCACCCCCTTTTTCCTACATCTCTCTCTCTCGTTGTCTGTCTGTCTGTTCTTCTTATACAAATACGCTTCTGGCTGTTGCTGTACAAGTGAAGAGCCAGGTGTGAGCTCGCCTTGCAAGAGAGAAAAAAAACTCTCAAGCAGATGCTTTTTCGATTTGAATGAGAGATGCTACATGTATCATATGTGAATCCTGAGTGGCCCTGACAGTGACAGACCTGCTCATGATTAATCACGGAGGGAAAAATTAAGTCTTGAAAGTGTTGGAATTGTTGGAAATGAGCTCTTGAGTGACAACAGGAATCAATACTGAGATAACTAAATCCTCTGTACTTTAGAATAGCACACAGTCAAATGACTAATCAATAAGAGGTGGCGAAGAGGATACTGTGTACTGTATCTTGAGTGGATTAATAATCCTTTCATTTGATATGATTAAACCACGTCATTCATTTATTTTCATTTTTGGGGCTCTTTATTGCCTTTATTATAGTGACAGCTGAAGACAGACAGGAAAGGGGGGCAGAGAGTGGGAATGACACGCAGCAAAGGGCCACAGGTCGGATTCGAACGCTGGGCTGCTGCAGCAAGGACTGAGCCTCGGTACATGGGTCGCCAGCTCTACCCACTGAGCTAACCGGGCACCCCACGTAGTTCATTTCTAACATGTCCTGGATTATGACAGCTCTGATCCCTTCCACACACACTGTCCAGCCTGTTAAACAGACAGAGGGAGTCGTTATGGGTGGGTAATGATTATGGCACATCGCAGGATGCCAGCACTGGCTGCCACTTGAAACAGAGCGCTCTCTGTTGAACATGGGAGATGTTGGATGAGGAGGCATCTGGAAGGCGTCCAGGAGGTTTTCTGTACTCGCTGGTAAATCTGTTTAATCAGCACCCAAGTTTTGGCAGAGCCTGGACCCTCCTTCACCACCACTTCCACCACCATCCCTCCTCCTCCTCCTCTGCAGTGGTGGAAGAAGTATTCAGATGTTTTACTTAAAGTACCAATATATTAATGGTAGTGTACTCCATTACAAGTGAAATTCCCTATTTCAAGGTCAGGTGTGCAACACTGATTTCATTGGCAAGAAATATGGCAGAAATGGAATTTCATTTTCATAGATATGTTTTCATTAGTGAATAATCATCTCAAAATAAGAATAATTGTGTTTTCGTTACCTTAAAATTATACGTTTTTATCTACAGAGGGAGCAGGTCCTCTTCCACAGTGGCTGTCATGTTGAACCACCATGTTTCTATAGTAGCCCAGAATGGACAAACCAAACACTGGCTCTAGATAGGGCCTTTGGCATTTTTTATGCGTTTCATGGTCACCATAATACTCGCCTGGAAGGCTGAGCTGTATACAAATGGTAGCAGAGTTCGATGGCACTGAATCCTACACACATGCTCCTTCAAGTAAAAGCACAGAAAAGTCAAAGCAAAAGCGCTTGTTCTTCAATGTGACAGATATATTATTATATATGACATTATTAGATCATCAATTATGATTATGATTACTGAATCCAGCCAACCCACACACAAAAATAAATCTGAGAGGTTGTTAAGTGTTTAACGGGAGAGAAAAATGAAAAAAGTTCCGCTACAAATTTCACTACACAAATGTGTATTATTTTTTCTAGTCTTTATTTTTTGTGAAATACTGGATAATTTGAAGCATTTTTTAAATGGAGGTCACAAGCCAAATATAAAGATATAGCTTAATAATGTATTTTTTATGTAAAATCTTAAAAGTAACCAGTATATACGTCAGCTAAATGTAGTAAAAGCACAACATTTGCCTCTCATGTTTAGCAGAATAAAATGGAAAGTACCTTAAAATTTTACTTAAGTAAATGTACTTAGTTACTTTCTACCACTGCTCCTCCTCACCCTCCTCCATCTCTCTCTCTGGCACATTGTTTCCCCCCTATATTTTTTTGCTGAGCGCTTGTTTATATCAGCAGCAAGCAGGCGTCTTCATGCATGAGGGCACATCCAGCGCGCCACAAAAAGATCTCCATTCAGGTTGAGGGAAGCCCTGTTTATAGTTCTCCCCGGGAGAGGCAATCAAAGCCCATTGTTACAGATCAGGGGAGAAGGGCGCACTTTAACACAGGAACAGAGCTTGATGGGTGTTTTTATGTACGTCAAGAACACAATGCATGTTGCTGATTGGACGCTGCTATAATTCAGAGTCACCGTGTGGGATGTTAGCCGCCAATCACTTTGATGCTTTTAACCTATAAACAAGCCTGAACAAAAGGTCTTTTACTTTTACACTATTAAAGTCCTTAGTCCATAAACACAAATGCCATTACTTGATGGTGGTCCTTCTATAATTGCTTGAATTTTCTATGATTCCTATGTTTGATTGATTGAATAAAACACTTCCAACGCAGCACTGGCCTTGGGTTGAAGTTATTAAAATGACTTTATCTTATTGTGATCAACTCAGTCAGTTTCATCTCCTTCAGATTCTCCCTCTTTGTAATCCATCTGAGACAACACCTGGACTTTGATGTACTGTAACCGATTCCTGGCAGGTGATGAGTTCTGCAAAGACCTTTTTCCTCTGCCAAACTGTCCGAGAACACATTCAGTAAGTCAAAGAAAAGAGGGGGGAGTGGGGGGGGAGTGCTGCACCGGTGACATAAAAACTCTCCATTTTGGCAGAGCTCCTTCAAAAGGTTACATTAATTTCAATTATTGCAAAGGATGCCTGCAAATAAGCTTTAATGACGTGGGCTTTACAAAGGTTAATTACTGTAAATGACTGTGTGAAGTTAGATTCATCATCAGGAAAAGGAAATGTTTAGGAAGGCATGTTTTTTTACTTGGTTTGTGATCATGTAAGCACATTTTTCTGATGTATGATTCCTCTTCTTTAGGTGAATGCAGCACAGAGAGCACCGTGTAAATAAAAAGCAATACAGATGCCAAGGCAAAAAAAGGGTGAATATAATTTGACTTATCATTTTAGCAGGTCCACCTGAGATTCTGTGAAGTATCATTACATAAAAGTAAGAGAGCTTAGGATTGTTTTTATTTTATTTTTTTCCTCTCTCATAAGTACTTTATGATCAGCCTAAAAGGCACAATATATACCCAGGTAGTACTTCAGGTAACATCTTTCTGTAAACTCTTTCCGGAAGTCAGAAAAGTGTATTTTATCTTGCATCTGAGCTTTTAACTAAGAGGAACACTTTCCTGTCAGAAGGTTTATTTTTAGTCTGCATTAGCTTACATGCTTTACTGTTGCTAGTCGGCGTATGAAACCCATTGACCCGCAAAAGGAGCGGTTTTCTCCCGAGAGGTGTTTGGAAGCAGACTTGCACAAGCTGCTGCGCCTGCAGGCTGAAAACATACAGCTAGTTTCTAATACTCCACCCTGGGCTACACAAATCAATACACACATGCACACACACTCCTGAGAAGTCCCACAGCTGAATAGTCTGGTACAGGAGTTTCTGCTGTCTTTTTTCACTCAGAGAGCTGCCAAGGTTATTCCTCTGATGTCCAGCATGTCAATCAAGAGGACAGTTGGTGTCTGTTTTTAGAAGTTGGCTGTTATTGTGGTTGCACTCATTTATTCTGTTATAACCAGAAGTTCATGTCATACTTAAAAGCAAGTTTTGCCTCTGTAAGAATAAGCAGGAATGAACAGAACAGCCATGTTTAAATGATAGTATTTTATTTACGGTAAAAATCCTAAGTATATTGCTTGCATCATACTTATATAACATATTCATAATACCTGAAAAATAGATGAGGCATAGTGTTAAATTTATTATTGTGTCACAGGCATTTGTGTCACCTCACTAAAGTGTTTTCAATATATGTCAATGTGGCAATAACCATTTAGAAGTGGAAACTAAAATGTATTCCTAAAGGTTAAAGAAAACGAAACTGAGGGAATTAAACTGTTGTCTGAGTTATTCACCAAGGGCTTTTCATTTACAATTAGCTGAAAGCCTTCAGAATCCAGACATACGCTACCAACAAAGAAAAATAGATCAGCCAGTTGTGATTAATGCAAGCCATGACTTTGGTTTAGATTGTAAAATGGCCAAAATTCCTGCCTAATCAATGAACTCACTGTCCTCTTAACAAGTGCTCTGCTTAAAAATCTGATATAAAGCATGAATTTACATATTTGTTCAATTATTATCAGGCCTTTACTGAGGAATTATGAATGTATCTTAAACTGATTATATATGAAGTGTTGCATCTATTTAACCCTGTGAATGCAAATGGATTTAAATCAGTCAGCAGTTTGATTCTTCATTTCACATTAATGTGACCGTCTATGCTGATTCTAAATCCGGTGCATTCACTTCCTTCCTTTAAAGTCAGGAGATTATGATATATTTCACTGAAGGAACATAGAAAATTTACTTTTGATGGAATATATTTCCCATATCCTTGAATAAAAAACATATAGCCTACGGAGACTTATACGTGCAAAAGTCTTACATGAAACCTCACTCATTTAAAGTTTGATCCTCTAATTTGTTTATTTTTGTATATGTGTGTGTGTGTATGGTCCCTGTTATGGGACACTGCCAATATTCTGTCCTCTGATCCTCTGTAAATATGAGTATAATTATCAGATTTTTACATATAACTCAGGACATAGAATTACGACACATTTTGTTCTGTCTTTCAAACACAAACAGTTGGCAAAAAGTAACAAGCATCACACAGCCATGCTGCTGTTTCTTTTGTATCTCAAGCACTGACTCAAGTCTGTTAATCTGTTTCCCAGATCAGTACAGTTTTCTACATATTTTCTTGTATTGATGGATACCTCAGTCCTGATAATAATGCATATTTTGCTCTGGGGCTTTCCATCCATTTAATGTAATACATTTAACTAAACCTTTGTTAAGTTCTTTTCAATTATTTTATTGCCTCACCAACCATCTCACCAACAGATTACTTTTATTTTGTTTTATTGCCATTATCGCTGTCCACCACACACTGTGTAAAGACCATCTTCAAAAGAAAAATTAACCAGTTGTATTAACTAAAACATGGATTGTGTTTTTCTTTTCTCTCTTATCTGCTTGCTCCAGATTGGTCTGAGACGAAAACTGCAGACTTTTCCAGGGAAAATGGTAAACACTCTCCACAGTGATGAGGAAAAGGGAATCCAAGACAAGGAAAGTAAGGAGGAGAGCATTTTGGCCATGTTGGGCATCATTGGGACCATTCTCAACTTGGTAGTCATCATCTTTGTCTACATCTACACCACTTTGTAAGTCTCGAACTCTTACTGTACTTCTTCAGTGGGCAGATCGGAGCTCATCTGTGCCGTTGAAGCTACAGTATGTTGACTGATTTGGAGATGAAGATGGGAGGTGTAAGGAAGAGGCCAAAATTCCCCGGTGGTGAACTGGATCTAAGACTATGTGATCGCCATATGGCCTCCATCCTCCGTCACTTCAAACAACTAAGACTGTGTGAAACTGATTTGTTCCTCTCCCCTTTACAGGTAGAATTATCCAGAATACCTGGTTACTTTTGACTTTTACATAAATGCATGAAGCTAACAAGAGACGTTCAAAAGATGCAGCTTTTACCAACACGGGGACTAGAAAGACTGCAGAGAGAGCGTGGACACTTTTGGAAATATTTTTCAGATGTTCTTATTAACTGAAATATGGAAATGATCTGATTTGCTGACATGGGATAAAAGATGAAAATGTACAGTGAAAGTAAAAACAGCATTGCTGTTTATTATTTTTTCTCAAAGATTCTCTCAGTAAAAACACAACGTACATCCATTTATATAAGATTTAAACAGACATATTGAAGAGGTTTGTTTTATACTGTATTTCTCACTGTTGTCTGTAAAAAAAAAGATTTTGGATGGTTTATTTCGTTTGACACTATATCAACAGAAAATGTCATACAATTCTAAGTTATTTAATGTAAATTTTTTTAAACTAATGGTGTCTTTAAATGACATTAAGTCAGTCTGAAGTGCTGAAACACTATCTGTAAATGGGTGTACTTGACATCGTGCTTGACACAAAAGGGTAGAAGATCAGACAGATTAGTGCAAAATGGCTTGATTATCATTTATTATTCAAGATTTTAATGCATCACTTTAGGGTCATAAACACTTTAAGATGCATCCATTTGTGAGGAAAATTATTTTAACTTTTTCAGCTCTGGAGGAAAAAGAAGTGAGAAACAAAGGTGTTCTCGTTGGCCAGATGCAGCTACTTAGGTTGATACTGAATATACCAACATGCACATTTACAAATAGATACATGGGAAACACTGTAACCTGGTCACCCATACATGTACATAGAATTTACTGAGCTTAAGAGCTTAAATAGTCTGCATTTTTCAGCCATTGATCTCAGTTTATACATTATTGATTCAAAACTTAGACTTGTGCATAATGACTGTATGCCTTAAAACATGAGGAAATGGCTATTTCCATGATGTATAAAATTATCAGGTTATTTATGAAAGGTTTATTTATTGTATATACGTATAATTCAATACCAGTGTTATATTGTTTTTAATTGATGAAAGGTCATTTATTGGGTAATTTTATAAAAAAAATAAAACAAAATATCCTGCTTTTGTCTTAAACAACATGCAAAAACTTCTGAGAGTTCTGAAATTGTGAAATGTGGGGATATTTCCAGACCTGGGCCATTTTTATCCTTTTCTGTAGTGTAAGACCAGTGTGGGTTTTTGCCACACTGGACAATACTGTAAACTTCTGGTATTTTTCTCTTCCATTGACTGAAACAGATTCAAACATAGGCAACATTTTATGTGACCTGAAATGAGGCAAAATTGTTGTAGTTGAGGGGAAAACTTAAACAAAAAGTGTGTCAAACATTTGTCCAAAAAGGGTCAGGTCTGCATTTATAGGCTGATCAGAATCTGGGCCAGTATGTTTCAGCTTGTACAAATTGAATCAGGTCGGGTCATGTGACAGTCTGGACTAAAATTAACTTTCTGTTTTTTATTCATTTGTGTACAAGAGGCCTGCAAAATTATTTTACCTGTAAAACATCTTCTCAGTTACCTCGGAGTTACAGATTCATTTATTTAAATTGCATTAAAGGAATAGTTTTGGGAAATATGCTGGGAGTTGCCGCTGGTTGCATGGAAACCTCACTGTGACAACAAGGAAGTCATTGTGCTCAGCTAAGAAATAGTGCGGTATATCCTTGTAAAACCATAACCATCAATAACAACATCAATTTCAAGCTTTCCACCCCTACACATCAACGTATTTACTTCTCACTAACAACTATAACAGGTTAGTGAGCTTTAGAGCCACTGGTGGGTGCATTTTATACCCTTGGAGAGAGCCAAAGGTTTCTGGGCTTTATGCTAAGATAAGCTAACTGGCTGCTAGTTGTAGTTTAATATGTGATGGACAAATATAAGAGTCGATCTTCTCATCTAACTCTCTTCAAGAAAGCAAATAAGCATTTTTCCCAAAAATATCAAACCATTCCTTTAAAAGAATAGAAGCTATAAGAGATTAGAAACGGCCTATAAATAATAATGTACAGTATGTAGAGAATGTAAGGCTATAGACAACAGGCATTATGTGTAAACTATTATGTTTGTGTTCGTCAGTCAACCTTATGATTTCAGAAAGTGCCTGAGATCAAGTGTCTCAACTTCACCAGTCGAAAGGTGAAGGAAAGGAAAACACAAACCAGTGAGAGTATCTTTATAAGTCCACCTGTCACACAGCCAGAACAGTGGAAGAAGTATCCTGATCCACTCCATTGCATTTATAATGGGAGTGGATTTCTACTACATGGCTTAGTGAATAAAGACATTTTTTGTCTTGGGTGAGGTTCTCCTACTTGTTTGACAGAATAAGGAAAATGAAAGCCTGGTAAGCACACGTACAAGTCTTACGAATGTATTCATAATTGATGTAAAAGTCGATTCTTCAGATTATTCTTATTGTTAATCTGAATTTATTCATATGTTTTATTTATGTGTATGCTAAATCTATTTAAACTCATTGAATAGTCTCTTGTGGGTGACAAATGGAAGGGTTAAAAGTTTTTCAGCTTGCAGTTTGGTTAAAAAACATTAAATAAATAAATCTTGAAAGTGATTTCATTGGGATGTGTTGTCTTGGTGTGTAGGGATGGAGATCAATGGTAATAAATTCACTTTTATGCAACACAACTCTAGCATCAGTGCACATCAGCTACATTCATTAAGTACAATATACATCAATTTTGAAAGACTCTGACAGCGTTTCAACTTTTAGCACAGAAATCTTTGAAAATCTGCATTCTCCTGTGTCTGACAGCTGCATGAGCTTACAACAAAGCCTTGAAAAAGAAGATGGAGGAAGAAACCAAACTTTAGCGTTACATCCTGCGAGCGTATTTCTCTGTCTGGCCGCAAATCAATTTGAAAGATGGAGAAAAACGAAACAGAGCACAAAGCTAGCAGGACAAAGACACAGCAACCAAATCGTCCTAAACAAATTTATTTTTATTCCATCTTCTTTGGGTTTGTATCTTTTAGGTCATTTATGTGTCAGAATAATTTCCCACTCTGTTAAACTTGGTCTGTTATTGGTAACATACTGGAATAATCCTGTTGGAGGAGAAAAAAAGTGACTAAAAACAGCTTAACTCCACTTTTTCTTTAAATATAATGGATTAGGCAATGAACCAAGGAAAAAAAAAAAAAAAAAAAACAGGTTTGAGGAACCTCAGCTGCTTAAATTCACACATGCCCAGAAGCCTGCTTTAAGCTATTGTTTCACCTGGATCCAGCCAGCACAGTCTTCCCTCTTTTGAAGCTGAAAGATGCTTGGTGAACAATGTGCAGGAGATTGTGATGCATCGCAGATGGATGATTCAACCGAGCAGATTGTCCATGCAGACGTTCCATCTCTATCTAGCTGAGCTGACATCGTTTTGATGGTTTCACAGAAAAGCTGTGCGGGCGATTAATCCATCTACCACACAAGCCCCACCAAATCAACAAGACATACCCATGGCTGGCAACGTCAAGCTGCTTCTGTTGTTATTCAGAGGCAATTCAACCTGTGGCGGCCGCACACATTAAAATTTAATGCCACGTTGCAAAGCATAGTTTCCAGTAGGACACAAAATCACTGGCTTTTTTTTCCAATAATCATATCAACAGAATACAGATTATTTCATTGCAAAACACCACCCTTCATGCATGATAACACCCAGTGTGAAAATAATTCAACTCGACTGGGAAAAGGGTCAAATGTGTAATCTGTTTTTGGCAGTAGCAAGTTTTGCTGAAATTAAATCAGAACAGTGTGTCGAAAGTAAGAATCTTAACAAGAATTTATTAGCCTTTTGTGTTTGTTTTAAACACTACCTATAGATACGTTATTGCTTAAACAAACACAAAAACATGGATCCAGAGACAGATGAAGTAAAAAAGATTGTGCTTTCATGTCTGCAGCTACACAATAAAAAAGCAGAGAAGAGAGCTGATCCAGGTTCATTTTATCTGATGTTTACCTTCTGACGCCTCTCAGTTATATCAAGTGATCAGTCTCACTCCCCCTTTTTCCAGTATCAATCACACAAATAAAAAAAGAGAAGCAGAAAGTAAAAAATAAAACATTACAGTCAGTTACTGACATAATCTGCAAGTTTGGATAGCAAAGTACTAAATATTAATAAAATATATTTTCTTCCCTTTGATGTTGTTTTGATGATTTTACATCTACATATTTTATACAAGTTGATAATCCTTTGCGAAATTACTAAAAGAACAGTTCAACATCTTGGGAAAACATGTTTGAACTTCCTTTTAATAATCATGGTCTCGCTCTCTCCTCACTTATGGTATATCACTCTGCCAGGGTAAACAACCGCAGGTAATGTGCAGGGTTGGATGTAGAGAAATATTCATGGGATGGCAGGAGACTTTAAGGGGTTGCAGAAATATACTGATTTAATTGCAATCATAGATATAAATATTTGGTTGGAAAAACCCCAAATCAAGATATTTGAACTCAAAAACATTACATTCATGTGGCATATTAGTAAAGCACTGAAATATCTAAAGGTGGCATTTAAAATCAATAAATTATTTTCTTTCCAAATCTTGAAAGATTTTTCGAAACACATTTTTTAAATTAATCACTTGATTAAAGTCTAAAATGTGGCCATAACAGATCATATGTCTTAATTGCCACCCCTCTAGATCTGCCCCTAATGTACAAAGCGTTAAATCTAAAATTTCAAATATGAAGTATTTAGTCACCATCACACAATACAATACATAGTAAAAGGATTATAATCCATAAAATCAATCTCATCTAACCATACTAAAAACAGTGTAACTTGATCTCCTGGGCCAAAGGTTTGTGTTCTCTCAGATAACATGGACATTGAGATATTTCCAGCAGTGACGGCTGAGTTGCAGAAAAAACATCAAGTTAATGGTCAATTTCAACTGGAAAAATGCACCGCCTTGCTCTTGATATCACTGTCACTGTTTTCTTTTCCTAGACACATATAAAGCTAACAGCTGGATGCACATAGTTGCACATTCTCTGGGGTTGTCAAAAGGTATTCTGGGAAATGTAGGAAATCTTCAACTGACGCTGATGCCCACTAAAGGGAGAAAGGATACAGAATGAAGGTCAAATACAGCACTTAATCATCAAATATCTCCTGGGATACTGAACACTGCAGAGATAAAAAAAAAAAAAAAAAGTGTATACAGTACTGAGTGGGGCATCTGGGGGTGAAATCTCAGGTGGGGATGACATGTCTTGACAGTACACATCTCCCTCCTACCCTCCCCTCAAATACAAACTGTCAAAACAGACAAGTAGATTAGACCTGGGCCATAAAGATTTCAAATAACCTTCTGTGCTCTCAGGTGAAGGTAAAGGAAACAAAGCAACACTTTTTCTACTCATCCAGGTCACAGTTCACTCCAGAGTATCGATGTCGTGACTTCCCTGAATCCAAAGTCCGCCCTCAATTAGAGATGTGAGAGGATTTCCCCCAACAGATGTGTCCTATATAGATTTCCTGTCACAAAGGGTGCACATATCCAGCTGCCCTTCTTCACATTTATTCATGCAGAGAAATAAATCCTGTGATCAAAATCGGGAACAGGCTTGAAAGCTGTGACAAATCCTGATATAAATGTAAAACTTGAGAGAGGAAAGTGTGAAACTGTCAGGTTCAGCTTGACTGTTGGAGATTACAAATCTTTCGTTTTGCATGAGAATTTTTTTTGGGTTGTGTCATGCTGGATATCAACCTGTCGGCCAAGATGGCTGCTTAAGATCACAAATATTTGGGAGATATTTTGAGGAGATCTATCGTACTGGTGTGGTGAAGAGGATTAGCAAGGTACAGGAGGTAGTGGTAGTAGATTTCCCATTTTTAAAAGTCAAATTGAAATAAAATTCATTACTAGAGGAAATCAGTATGCAGTTTTGTGTAGTTTGTTCCCCGTTAAAATTCACTTCAGTATGCGAACACATGACCATTTGTAATGCTGCGATGTTCAGTGCTCATTTAGACTGTTAATGTTCAGTCTGTTGCCAGTTCAAACTTATATTAATTTCAGTACACAACTAAGCCTACAAACAGGCTATGGACTGGCATCATCATATTGCACTTTCACATCACTTGAGAAACTACTGTGAGTTGAGCTTAGTCAAAGATTTTGAATATTCACTGTCAGTGTGGTGAATCGTTAAATGATGTTGGTGGCAGTTTCTACTGATGGACAGAGTTTGGTACAGCAGCATCAGTAAACGTGACTGTCGTCTTCAACTAAATCTCAGCCAAGCCCAGATAAAACAATTGGTTATTAACAGGTTGGTTATTTACAGACACTTAGCCTAATGTAACCTGGTTATTCAATCAAATATCTATAGATGTCCAGATGAGCAACATCTGATCACTATGTTGGGTCACTGGATGAGTGAAGACTGAAAGGCCATGACAACCTTAAGTTTTGGGAAGGCTGCAAAATAATATATATAATATATAATCATATAGAGTTACATATGGAATCTTTATATAGATTCTTTACTTGTCTGACCCCTAAAAAGAGGTCCTGCTGCAACATTTTGCGAAGCACCAGTATGTGTGCCGGTCTGGTCTATGACATGGTCGAGTAAGTAGCGCATCACAGAAGTTGACAGCACATCTCCCAGCAACTCTCAGATGTCAGTCACCCCCTATTTCCAAATCTGTTCCTTTGAAAAATAGAAGTTTCATTCTAGTTTATATGCCCTTACACAAAACGTGGGGAGAATGTAAATTCCAGTACAACTTTGATGTGAATAATTTTCCTGTCTGCCATCTTTGCACTATTTAAAAAACTAGAAGCTTGAACCTGACCAGCAGAGAGTAATGAGAAAAAAGTCATTAGTTTCCCCCTCACAACGTGAGAACCAAACCGTTCTCGTATCATTATGCTTGTATTAAGATCATAAAACACATGCAAACAACACACCCACGCATCCATCTCCTCTTTCCCTAAAACACACATTCAAACACACACATTCACACACACACACACACACACACACACACACACACACACACACACACACACACACACACACACACACACACACACACACACTCACACTACGTTATTAGCAGTAGACACGAGAAGAGAAGAAGAGAAAGTCATTAGAAGGAGACAATGCTTCAAAGCAGTTTGTCTTGCGTTTAGGACACAAGCCAAGGATGCTCACTTGACAGAGCAAACATGCTTTGTAGTCATCTTTATCTCAGAAAATGGGTCACTATCAACACTGAACAGAATATAAAACTTCATGAGCCTCTGTTAGGTAACTTAACCACCAAACTGTATTTGTCAAAAAAAAGCAGATATTTTGAGTTTAGAAAAATTGTAATGCTCGTTCCAGCCCTAAATCATGAAAATACAGCTCAGTAAAAATGTTATGGCATTAAATTAGCAAGCAGTAGTCAGTAAATCAAACATTTTCTCCTTAAAAAAACAGGTTAAACATCTGTGTTCAGGGTAAACTTACAAACAGGTTAAACATCTGTGTGTGCTGATTTGTAAACTGACCTTGGCTTTAATACATTCTACTCCATTCAGGTG